GGAGGCTTGGGGGCCGGCGGGCCGGCTCACCCGCAGAGCAGCGCATGCGCACAGCCCAAGCCGGAATTGGCCAAGACACAGGGAGGGGGAGTGGCCAGAGGAGCATAAGCAGGCCCATCTCTGGGCGCGCTGGACGTCTCGGTGGCACGACGGTTAAAAGAAGTGCTGAGCCCAGAGGCGGGAAGAGGAGAGCAGAGGGAAGGAGGGTGGAGGTGCACAGAGCAGCTGAGAGCAGAAGAGAGGAGAACAGAGGAGACAGCGAGAGCAGCCCATCGGGAGGCATCATGGAGGCTGAGAGAGCAGCACCTATGGGGGCAACCAGACCAGACTGATGCATCAGCTCGGCGGGGGAGGTAGGAAGTGACCCAAGGCAGGGTAACAAACCCGGGGTCTTGGTGTGTTTCGGAGTGGATTTTCCCCCCCACCAACCGGAACTGGGGCGTGGTCCCCAATCCTTAGGGCCCTGCGTCAGAGCTCAGAGTGGGGGTGGGCCCGAGCCCTCCTACCACACCTCACCGATCAACCAACTCGCCAGAGGAGAGGTGAAATTTGGAGAGGACCATCCATGCCGGACGTGGGGCAGGGCGGGTGACGGGGAGCAACAACGAGGAGTTTTTCTCGTGGGACAGCCAGTGGGGCGTGGGCTGATGGGCCCTGGGCAGGGCACACCCATGCACCCCTTAACACAGCCCAATTATGTGAGCACAAAGGAGCCAAGAAGGCTGAATTAGTTAGGGAAAAGCTTAGAAAATGTCTCCACAAAATGTAAACATTTCCATGTTCTTCCTGCACACATCCAAATTCAGTGGCAGGAGTCAGAAGGAATTAAAGAAAGGAATTGTAGAAAAGAGGAGACTAAGCTGGAATACGATAGAGGTATTGACTAGTTTGGAAAAAATGAATAAGAAAACTTGATTACATAATATAAGAACTAGGGGTCACCAAAGGAAATGAATAGGTAGCAAGTTTAAAACAAACAAAAGGAAGTTTTTCTTGACTCAGAGCACAATCATCCTGTGGAACTCCTTGCCAGAGGATGTTGTGAAGACTAGGACTTTAACACGGTTCAAAAAACAGCTAGATAAATTCATGGCGGTTAGGTCCAGGATCGGTAGGAATGGTGCTCCTAGCTTGTTTGTCTGGAAATGGAAGACAGGAGTGGGATCACGTGATGATTACCTACTGTGTTCACTCCCACTGGGGCATGTGGCATTGGCCACTATTAGCAGACAGGACACTGGGCCAGATGGACCTTTGGTCTGATCCATTCTTATGTTCTTAAATATTCCAAAACCTATTATTTCAAAACAGTTTTCATTGGAATAGTTATTTCAAGAAATTCTCAATATGTTAAGCATTTTAGATGAAAAAAAGGTCAATGATTAATAAATGGGAAAATATAATAAAAAGTAATTTTTGAACTGTGATATTTGGGAAATTTGATCTTATCAATTTGCTGTATACTTGAATGTGTACAATTCACCATCCACCATCAAGGTTACCATCTATCTCTCTGATGAGGGACAATGATAGGCCACTAAACTTTGATGGTCCTCCTTTAGCAAAGAGATGATTGCTGCCCAGGGCAATCCCGTTCTTCAAGTCTGTGCGCTAGGGAGGAGATTGCTAAACAATGGATTATCTAGTGGGACTCTGATCACCCAGTGACATAAGGAATTCACAGAAATGATACAAAGAGACAAAGGGCATTTGGGCAGGAAAGGAGAATAGAGGGGCATGCTGTTATTGTAGAAGGACTGCTGGGCTGGCCGAGGAATAGGGAAACTATCTGCAGAGAGGAGAGACTCCATGATTTGCAGGAAAAGCTATGTTCTGGAGACAGTGTTCTGAATTCCTTAGTGTACTCTGCTCTAAGCCCAAAGAATGTTCAAGTGTCCTGAGGAAACTGAGGCAGGAAATTGTGCACAGCTGCCTTACAGCTTTGCCTTGCTCTTTATATTTCTTATGCTACCTCAAGTAAAGAACAGTTGTTTTTTGGAATCTTTTGAGAAATCTGTGCCTCTGTTTGCTTCCCTGTAAACATGGAGTCCACAGACTTGCAGCTCAGGGATAAGGTCAACTAAAACTAGGGAGGAATCAGGGTTAGCAGCACTGGAGGGGGTCTACAACTGGTGGGCCACAGGATCCTCTCTCAGCAATGAGATAACAAATAAGGAGCCTGTGCCCGGGAAGCATGCCAGAGAAAAGAGACTCTTCAGACAAGGGAATGCTTAAAGCAGGTGGGCCCAGTGTGTGAATCCCAAACACGACAGCCTAGAGAGTGTGTGTCTACACTGCCCCCATAGCTCAAAATAAGCTACGCAATTTGAGCTATGCAAATTGCGTAGCTTATTTCGAGTCAATTTCAAAATAGCTTATTTCAAAATTTGGTGCTGTATACACAGCACTTATTTAGAAATAAATCATTATTCCAAAACATCCCTTACTCTACATGGAATGAGGTTTACAGGGACTTCGGAATGTCGAGCCCACTATATTTTCAAATAATGGGCATACTCAAAAGACGTGGAATAGCTATTTCAGAATAGTATCAGAGGGGTAGCCGTGTTAGTCTGAATCTGTGAAGACTGTGAATGGCTCGCTAACTACAAAAGCAGCTCTCCTCTCTTGGAATTCACATCTCCAGATCAGCTACTAGAAGTGGGCCTCATCCTCCCTGATTGGATCCACCTCGTCATCTCCAGACTGATTCTGGCCTGCATATTTATACCCTGCCTCTGGAAATTTCCACTACATGCATCTGACAAAGTGGGTCTTTGCCCACGAAAGCTTATGCTCCAACACTTCAGTTAGTCTATAAGGTGCCACAGGACTCCTTGCCGCTATTTCAGGATAACGGAAGTATCCCGAAATAGCACTGCAGTGTAGACGTAGTCTGTGTGTGTAGCTGGGAAGCTTTGCTAGGACTCTGACATGAACCCAAGGAGAAAGATAATTAAACACATGGAGAAGAGAGAGGTCTAAGCTCGCTAACTACAAAAGCAGCTTCTCCTCTCTTGGAATTCACACCTCCAGATCAGCTACTAGAAGTGGGCCTCATCCTCCCTGGTTGGATCCACCTCGTCATCTCCAGACTGATTCTGGCCTGCATATTTATACCCTGCCTCTGGAAATTTCCACTACATGCATCTGACAAAGTGGGTCTTTGCCCACGAAAGCTTATGCTCCAACACTTCAGTTAGTCTATAAGGTGCCACAGGACTCCTTGCCGCTATTTCAGGATAACGGAAGTATCCCGAAATAGCACTGCAGTGTAGACGTAGTCTGTGTGTGTAGCTGGGAAGCTTTGCTAGGACTCTGACATGAACCCAAGGAGAAAGATAATTAAACACATGGAGAAGAGAGAGGTCTGGGTCCCCAAGCCAGAGTATTTAATAATATAAACACTCCACCCTAGTATGTGAGGAATCGATTTGTCCAGAGCATTCGGAAAATGCCAGCTTTAGTAACTTGTAAGAACGAGAAGATTATAAGCAATGGTGTCTGCTGACAACACTGGTAGCAAAATTGACATGCTAAGTCTTTCTCAGAGCCAATTCATATCTGCAGATAAGGATCATAATATACCTGAACCAAAACAAAGTCCCTTTGCCTAACCTGAAAAGCCACTACTGCAGGAATCCTGCACGTGCTTGTATAGTTCTCTAACAGCAATCGTATTTACCTTCTGTCAGCCCTAGCCAGGGGCAGATGATGATTTTGCGGGGCCGAGGACAGCACAATTTCGTGGGGCCCCCTTTGACACGGCACATGTGCGGGGCTTCTTGTAGCATGGTGCCCGGGGCGGTCGCCCCACGTGCCCTGCCCTATATCTGCCTAGCTATTAAAATCCACTCCAGTGGGAAGTTTCAGTTCAACCAAAATTTAACTCTTAAATTTGCTCTGTCCTATAATAACTATGTATCTTTAAATTTCAGAAAATGGTTGGCTCCATGATAGAAAGAACTTTATTATGAATCGTCTTATAAAAATAAAGATATAAACTATCACAAATACAGTGTTTATCACATAAACACTGCCAACACCAGTATTTCTTTGTTCATTCCATTGCCTCCTTGAAACCCACTCTCTTTGCAAAGTTTTCATGTATTCAGCTCCACGTTTTCTTACAGTTTGAAGTTTATCTCTTGTAAAGATCCATTTTTGCTCCAAATTTTAAATCATAAATATCTATTTAACAATCTCTTAACATACATACATAAAAGAGTCACTTCCTAAAGGATTATCAAAAAAATGTTTGAGACCTGCTATTGCGGGTTCAAATTCTACCTCACAGTATGGAACCATGACATAAGAGAAGAGAAGAACAGGAACAAAAAAACAAACAAAAAATTCATGGAACAGAATATGAGAAATTGCTCCCATTTATAATTGACTTTCTCATATGCACACTTCGTATTCATATCTATCTTTCAATACAGATAAATTGGAAGGCCTTTTTTGGGTGGGAACAGAATGAAGGTAGAGTAAGTGTTGCTATAGCGAATGAAATAAGAATTAATATGAGAAATAAGAGAAAACTTATCAATGATGATATTATTGATATTAAATTTGGACCTGAATTTGGATCCAAAGTTTAGGACACTTTGTGGATGTCTTCAATGAGCGTTTCTAAATCCCAAAACCAGACACCCTCAAACATCGTGGTTGAAAATTTGAAATGAGACCTTCGATCTGAATCTTCAGGTCTATGTCTAATTATTCTGCTTAATTATCATTAAGATTTCCATAAATACTTTACTTACAACATTCATAAATGTTTCAGGATTCATTCCTCTTTTCTTCTTGATGAGTTCTTCTGAACTTGTAAAGGTTTGTATTAGACAGGCTAATGCAATAAACCACCACATCTTGTTTCTGTGGGGGGAAAAAAGTGTTTATGAATAACATTTCTACCAACATATAGCTTGACTTTTTAACATTCATGACAATTCTCTTTGATATCCAAACATATACATTCTGTAAAATGGGAAAAAATCCACTGTTTTATCTGCCCATTCCTATTCACAAGCACAATATTACTGAATTCAGTGGGAAGGGGCAGGCCCTATATTAGTCTCTGTCATGATCATGTGTTTATAAGCAACATCCAACTCTTATTGAACTTACTGAAAGTTGTCTGGAATAGAAGATGGATCAGGTTCTGTGTTATTGCGATAACTCTAGCACTAAAAAGCAGTCAAACTGCTTAATACTCAGGACCGATGGTATGTAAGTTAAGCCATGTCTACACTAAGAAACTATTTCAAAATTAGTAAATTCAGCTTAACTCCCAATTTAACAAAATTGAACTAATACATCCACATCTCAGGGAAACCTCAAAATTAGTCTAAGACAGGCTTCATTAATGTAAATGCACTATCTCGGACTTAGAGCTCTAGAAAGCACTGACGAGTAATTAGTTCAAATTACTCTGGGGAGTAATGATTTTGAAATTGTAGCACTGGAGGGTCCACATTATTCCAAAATAACTATTTCAGAATAAGTGTTACTCCTGATAAAAAGCAGGAGTACAGATTTCTAATTCTGTAGCCCATTATTTTGAAATAATGGGCTTGGTATTGTGAACGGTCTGCTTATAAATTTGGCCTCGGTGGTGGGGGAGAGGCGTGTATTTCGAAATAAAACCCTAGTGTAGACCAGGGCTAATTGTGTTATGTTTTATTAAAGACAGAAACACAATTATAATAGGGATTACAAATGTGTCATGGAATACATTTATGCTAGTCTGGCCATGTCTATACTTTTGTTATTTTATTACGCAATAATATACTGTGGATTAGAATCTTTTTGTCCAAGACATTGATCAAACAGATAGGAAGTCATGTTCCCTGACACAAAGAATTTATAATCTAACATAACATAATGCTCTAGACCATTATTTCCAGGGTTATAAATGTTTCAAACTTAAAAAAATTGTCAATATACCATAAAACCTCCATACAACTTGGCCCATATAGTAATCACATCTCCCAATAAAAAAAATCTGTTTATAATATGCCTGTTTAAAATATGCTTAAAATACACAAGTTTAATATTGTGTGTCATCACTCTCCCTGGTTCTGTGAAGTGATATCAATCCCTTACTTTGTCGAGGAGTTAAATTTACCACAGAATTTTACAAAAATAAGATTCCTATAAACAAACAGTGCTAGATTTGTGGATATCAATTCAAGTCATGAGACTGAAAGTTAGGTCTCATTGAAAACAGCATGAAAAGAGCCCACAACCCAATTTATACAATCTCGTTATTACTAATTTTATTATTAAATTCTGTATTGAAACTACAAAAAACTCTCACCTCTATCAACTAAAGTTTTCAGCTCAACTCAGGTGAATACTCCTTGTGGACAGAGGCTTTTTGTAAAGTACTGTAAGTAGTACATTTTACAATAATTTTTAAGTAATATCTCAATCTATCCACAGGAGACTTTCTGTCTGTTGTCTCTTTCCAACAATCTTTTCTCCCTACAAAATATACAGACCAGAGGAACTGCAATGCCAATTCTAGTCATTCCTTCTGAGGAAATGTTACAAGTATTAGCCAATAACCCTGTCAAAAACCATGTACAAATTTGACATAAACCAAATGACTGGGGTACAGTTTATCAGTTATTTTGCCCCCAAAAGAGCAGATAAAAATGTAATCCCACATTAAGTTAGGAAAAGATATTACCAACCAGAATCCACTCTCTGTATCGGCTGGGATTTGGATGCTTGAATGGTGGCGGTACAGTCAACACCAATGTTCAGAGAAGCAGGAGGTGACAGAGGCACAGTACCTTTAATGTCACATCATTAAAGTAGGTGCATATCAGTAAACACAGATGATGACTAAAACCATATTTATTGTGTGATTAAATGCCTTCACTCCCCTCCACATGCAGGCACATGATGTCACTTAATATATTTCCGCAGTTTTTCAGTAAGGCATGGATCCTTCAGTCACTTACTCATAAGCTTAACTTTAGATACTAAATTATATCTTGGCTGGATGCAAACTCATTTGAATTTAATCTTGTCTTATCACATTCATACAAAGCAGTGATCTGCATGAGTTGTGAAGAGTACTAATCAGTGTCATATGTCCACATAACATATATTAATTACAGTATGTTTATAGTAACCTGTTATTTTCTATCATCATCACAGTCACTGCTAAAACACAACAGCACATGCACTCTAGTCTTAGCTACAAAGGATTTGGTTAGCTTCTTGTCTAGTTAATTCAACCACCTCTTTGCTGAAGAGCTGATGAGGGCTTTTGTAAATCTAGTCCCACTGTTGTGTTGACAAAAATCACAACATTTGTAAAATAAATAAGAACAAATATTTGCATATATAAACTAAAATAGGCCCTACCAGTACTCCCAGCTATCTTCGAGACACCCACTGACTTCCTGCGGAAACTACAATCAATTGGTGATCTTCCAGAAAGCACCGTCCTGGCCACTATGGATGTAGACGCTCTCTACATCAGTGTTTCTCAAAGTGGTCTGCGGATCCACTCTGAGAAACCCACTAAATGGCCACACTGGTTTATTTACCGGCTCCTTAGCCGTGGAGTCTCACGGCTCCCATTGGCTCAGATTCACTATTTGCAGCCAAGGGGAGCCATGGGAAGGATCATCTGGATGCATGGGAAGGAAGCGCTTGAAGAAGTCCATTGGGATTTCAACTATTTCCACCCAACCATCAGTCTCAGCCTAGACCAATCCACACAAGAGATCAATTTTCTGGACATGTGCAAATAAATGATGGTCACATAAACACCATCCTATATTGGAAACCTATAACCAGTGTACTCACCTAAACACCTCCAACTTTCATCCAGTACACATCACACTATTCATTGTCTGCAGCCAAGCGCTAAAACATAACTGCATATGTTCCAACCTCTCAGACAGAGACAAACAGCTACAGGATCTCTATCAAGAATTCTTAAAACTACAGTACCTATGTGGAAAAGTGAGGAAACAGATTGGTAGAGCCAAATGGGTTCCCAGAAGTCACCTACTAAAGGACAGATTCAACGAAGTAAGCAACAGAACACTACTGGCCATAACAGACAGCCTCCATCTAAAACCTCTCCAGTACATCATGAAGGATCCACTACCCCTATCCCAGATGATGATCCCTTGCTCTCACAGATGTTGGAAGGCAGGCCAGTCCTCACTAACAAACAGCTCCTCACCCTGAAACAAATACTCACCAACAACTACACACCACACAACAGAAACACTGATCCAGGAACCTATCTCGGCAACAAACTCTGTCCAAATATATACCCCTTTGACACTTAGGACCTAAGCACATCAGTCACACCATCAGGGGCTTGTTCACTTGTAATCTATGAATGTGATATATGCCAGCAATGTCCTTCTGCCATGCACATTGGCCAAACCAAAATGTCTCTACACAAAAAATAAATGGACACTAATCAGATATCAAGAACAGTAACATCCAAAAATCAGTAGGAGAGCACTTCACTGTCCCTGGACACACAGTAATAGATTTAAAAGTTGCCATACTTGAGGGGAAAAAGCTTCAAAAACCGATTGCAGCATGAAACAGCTTGAGCTGGATTCATATGCAAACTTGACACCATCAGAATGGGTCAGAATAAAGACTAGGAATGGCTCTCTCATTATAAAAAGAAATTTCCTCTTTAGGTAGTCTCACCTTTTTAGCAGCTGTTGGAAATGGGCCACATCCACTTCAATTGAATTAGCCTCATTAGCACTGATCTTCCACACAGTAATGTAACACTCCTATCTTTGTATGTATGTATAAATCCCTGCACATTGAAGCTTGCACTTCATACAACTGATGAAGTGAGCGGCAGCCTACAAAAACGTATGCCCTAAGAAGGGTATGTCTACACTACAGCGTTATTTCAAAATATCTTATTTCAAAATAGTTAATTCAAAATAAGTTATTTCAAAATAACACGTATAGACACAAAATGCATTTTGAAATAGCGTGTCCACACTGAGTGGATGCTGACTCGCATTTAAGGCTGGCCAGAACCAGGTCCGGCAGGGCATCAGGTCAGGAGTTACTTTGTGTGGCTGCTGCCTGAGGCTATTTTAGGCCTGTGCTTAAAAGCCCCCCCCCCCGGATAGACAGTTCTCAGGTTTCCCTGCTTGCTTGCCTACCTTGATGAGGGACAGCAAAGCATTTTGCATCTGTGTGCTCTGGTTGCCCTCACTTGGGACACCACAGCACTCTGTAACATGGAGCCAGAGCTGCCCCTGGGCACTCTGGTGCTTCTCGTGGATGCGTTGCTGTGAGGCTGGCTGCACTTTCTGCAGGCTGCCATCCAGGAGGTCCATCTGGGAGGCTGTCAGTATCCAGGAGAACCTGAGGGAGAGCTTCCACCCTGAGAAGCACTAAGGGTATGTCTAGACTACAGGGTTTTGCCGACAAAAAAGGACTTTTGTCGACAAAACTATACCTGTGTCTACACTGCCGCTGAGTTCTGTCAACAACGGCGACAGAACTCAGCAGTTTTGTCGACGGCTGTAAACCTCATTCTATGAGGAATAACACCTTTTGATGACAGAGTTCTGTCAACAGAAGGCGTTATTGCATCTACACTGTCCTTTGCATCTACACTGTCATGTTGACAAAACGGCTTGCTTTGTCGACAGAACTGGCTGTAGTCTAGACGCTCTTTGTCGTAGAAGCTTTGTCGACACTATCTGTCGACAAAACTACTGTCTACAAAAGCCTGTTGTCTAGACGTACCCTAAGGTGCTAGAGGGCCATCCTGGTTATTGAACGGAAGATGGAATCCCGCCCCCTCCTCCAGTTAGGACTGCTTTACTCCATCAGGTCCAGTCTGGCAGAGTCTTACACATGCAATCAGTCCTTGCTTAACAGTTCCATTGTCTTTCATGGAGCTAGTCACATGGGTAAGCAATTACTTCTGTGGGGAAGAGTTTGCAAGGTTGGGTTAATATATTAGAATGTCTATCGCTACCTATACAAACCTGTCATGCAAGATATATGAAGCCCAGAAATCCAAGGAGCAGCAATCCATTAGTTGTTGAACCCTTCATTATCTGCATACAAGTTGGCATTCTGTATGTGGCACGAACGCTTGCCTGATTTCCTTTTGCTATTATTAAGCAAGTGAACAATACAAGCCAGATGCTCCGAGAGAGACGACTGAATTTATCCACAAACAGAGAAGCCGTAATGACTAAACATATTAGATAGTGAAAGAAAACAGAGGATGGGCGGGGTGGGGGCTGCCTGCCAGTAGCTTGCTGGCTGATGTTTTGGGGCCACTGGGTCGAGGCAGTGACTGTTGGCTCTGGGCTGGCAGACAGGCTTGGAGCTGGCACAGGCAGTGTGGCCAGAGTCAACCACTTTAAGGGCTCCGGGGAGGGGGAAGAGGGCAAGGAGTGTTCTTGGTTGAAGCTGGAGTTAGGTGTCTAGGTGCCTCTGCACTTATAATAGGAACTTTTTAGCAGCAGTATTCTCCCTGGGTGCCAGCACGCATGCACAGGACTGCTCTCCATATCAACTATCCCCTCAGTTCCTTCTCAATCGATCCTGGCTTGGTTGGAAAACAGCAGTGCTCCACGCTAAAATTTAGTTAGTTTTACTTGTTAGTGCTTAGTAATTAGTTTGGAGTTTAAATATTTTATTCATGGACTCCTCCTGCCGCCCCCTCAATGTGTGAATCTTTAAGGTGCCACAAGACTCTAATTTTTGCTGAAACAGTCTAACATGGCTATCCCTCTTAAACTCACTCTCCAAGATCATTAATATGAGTACAATTGGATCATGTCAATATATGTGTTAAACAAATTCAAAAAAGGGCCAAAGCTGAGCAGGGCAAAATCATATTATGAACTTATGTTGTTATGTACTTTTTTCAATAGTATTATTTATTGCATAAAAGAGCATTTCAGCATCTGCCAAAGCTGCACATTCATCTAGTACCAAAAGGAAAATGAGAAAAATTTGTCTCAAACTCTTTACCACAGTTAGGCTCAGGTTTAAAAAAAACCGAATAATAATTCTGCATATATATGATTTCAGTTTTAGAATCAATAAGAAATTGTTTTCATCTCCATTTTACATTCTTCATGGATAGTGCATTGGAGAAAACTGTAACCCTGCAGAAAGACAGAGCCCCATAACAGGTGTGTAATCATTCAATCTTACCCTCCGATATCTCTCTGATCAAAGCCACTCCTGGGTGACTTCTACTTCTTTTATATACCTCCAGACACAACCAAAGGTCCACAATTGCTTGTATAAGAGGGACAAAAATCACAAACTTTTAAAGTGATTAATTCAACATTTTTCTTTAGCACATAAATCATTGTCCTTTTATTCCTTCCTTCCTTCCTTCTTGCTGAAAGGAGGAGCAAAATGAACACTTTCAGAGGCTAATGACAAATATCACAATATCGGACAAGTGTTTCCAAATATTAGCTGATCAGTCTGATGAAAATAAAGAGGCCACCCAATTTTCATCCATCACTAGCACAGCATTAAGCAACAGAAGCAGTGCAATGTTCATAGTAGTCCAGCCGAAAGAGATTCATTAGGGATACAGAAACATGAAGCATCCAGATATTATAGAATTGTCTCACCACAAACTTTTCAAAATGTATTACCAGGAAGGGCCTTTATGGGAGCTGCTGGATGTTTGGCATCTTTGTAAGACAGACCACTTATTGAGATGCCCATATATGGGGATATAAGGACCTAAATTCTGATTTGTGAATGTTGGTTTCAATAATTTTTCTGCCTCTGTTAGTATAAGCTCTCTGCATTGCATTAGACTAACCTTTTTAGCCACCACTTGATTTGATTAAAATATCATCTGACATCTGTGATAACGGTCTGCACCTTTTTAGCCACCACTTGATTTTATTAAAATATCATCTGACATCTGTGATAACGGTCTGCAGATCTTCTGTGATCAGTTTAAATTGCCCTCTAGATTGCTCCAGAACTTTTGTTGACATATGGCATGTTCTTTCCTGTGTTCTCACTAGTTTCTTTAGCCATCAGCACTGATGTTGCTCTCAGTGGGTCCTAATATGTGAAGTGTAAAGTAATTGTGTAGCCCCCTACCCCCCCACCCCCCCACACACACACACTTCTTCTTAGCTATCCTCAGAGGATTGGGAGCAGCTCAGGAGTGTATCTGAGCAATGGAGGTTGGAATGACATTTCATGCCAATATTGAGAATCATAGAACCATAGAGTTAGAAAGAATCACAAGGATCATCTGCCAAGATGCAGGATTGGTTGTTTTTAAACTGTTCAAAACAGATGGTTATCCAGGCTCCTTTTGAAAACCTTCACTGAAGGAGTTTCCATGATCTCCTTAGGTGGCTATTCCACTGTCCTACTGATCTTACAGTTTTCAACTGTTTCCTGGGATTTCCATGGAAAGCCCAGTCCCTCACTGATACTGCTGCCTTACCTGCAACATCTCAGCCCAGCCTATAGAAGGGGCTTCTCCCTTGGGTGGAGATGTAGTGATGCAGGTGCCACAGTCCATTACCTCCCATATGGGCAGGGGGTTGGGTCCTCAGATACAGGCAGCTTTATGGGGCTCCACTCAGGGAAGAAAGTGCTGAAATGTGCTAAGCCCAGGCCACTAATACAGGGACAGGATGAGCAGAGAGAGATGAAAGTTGTTGCTAAGTGGCATGCCCTATAATGGTTTGCCACCCCCCTGCTTGGAGAGCCACCTGATAGAGTGGGGTACCACTGAGCCCATCTCTTCCAACAATCAGGGTTCCATTACATCACCATTTTGAGCCAGGCCTCCTGTAGCACCTCCACAGATAGGGACACTTCCAGCTGCAACAGGACACAACTCTGAAATCAGCTCTTCAGAGGAGGACTCAGTGAGAGAATTGCCCAGCACTCAACTGTGCAGTGCAAACCCAGAATTGTATTGTCTCGTGCTGCATGAAGAACTGTACAGTGTACGTTAATTGAAATTCATCTCCTCCCCTTGCTGGGGAGGAAGATCTGCACTGTATTCTGCTTCCCAGTGAAGAAAAGAACTAGATTCACTCACTCCCTTGCCTTAGATAGGATTTACCTGTGACAGGAATCCTTTGTTTCACAGTTTGTTTCCCATGTCACCATTTGCAGGGAGATGCCTGAGGTGAGTGTTATCTGGATCTGGCAACCAAGCCCCTCTCATATCCCAACCACCAGCCTTGGGTCCCCTTCCATACCTAAACTCCCTCCCAAAGCCTTTGCCCGCAACGTCTGCCAGAGCCCATACCCAATGCCCTGGCCCAAGCCAGAATCCCTCATTTCTGGTCCTATCTTAGACCCCACACCCACAAACCCAGAGCTCATACCTCCTCTTACAGCCCAGCCTCCTGCCTGATCCAAGCGTCACCTCCCACACTTTGAACTCTTAGGGTATGTCTACACGTTCCCTCTACTTCGAAGTAGGGAGGCAAATGAAGCATATTGAAGTTGCAAATCAAGCCCGGGATTTAAATATCCCGTGCTTGATTTGCATGTTCCCGGCTGGTCACCATTTTAGAAATTCACTAGCCTGGAGTAATTGCCCGCGTCTACACGTGGCAGTGAAACGGGAGTCCGATTTAAAGCCCCTAATTCGAATTAGCTGGTAAACCTCATTGCAGGAGGAATACCATCTAATTCGAGTTAGTGCTTTAAACTGGACTCCTGTTTCACTGCCACATGTAGATGCGGGCAGTTACTCCGGGCTAGTGAATTTCTAAACTCGTGACCGGCCGGGAACATGCAAATCAAGCACGGGATATTTAAATCCCGGGCTTGATTTGCAACTTCGGTATGCTCCATTTGCCTCCCTACTTCAAAGTAGATGGCAAGTGTAGACATACCCATAGTTAACCAGAATATTTGACTAACCAGCACCCTCCATTTTCCCAACATACAAGCTAGATAAAGCTTTTATTGTAGTTTATATGCAGCCAGCATGTAACACAGTAGCCTTAAGTTAAGTACATGCAAAGTGATTGAACAATTAATGCTTTAGGATGGTCCTGCATCACTGCAGATATGCATAACACATGGCATCCCATGTTTGCAAGTAGTCATTTTCACTCTCTCTCTGGCTCAATGACTATTCAAGAATTTCATATAAAGTGAAGCAGTTCTACGGAGCTTCAGTCACAAACATCCCCCAGCCCAGCAGTAAGGACACTCACCCGGAAGGGAAGATAACTGCTTTCAACTCTCTAATCCAAAGCGGGGATTCAAACCACACTCTCCTCTAAATACCTTAACCACCAGGCTGCAGGCTGCAGGCAGCAGACCTCTTGCCCCCTTCTGGGAAATAGCTTCTAAATCCCTTTGTGAAGTCAACTTGGAAAAAAAATGGCCAAAATGGAAAATCTTTCCTGAAAACATTCAAGCACACCAAGTTTTGCATGGCTGTGATTAATGGTATTTGAATCAGTCACTTATGTACAGAAAGTAAATCTTGATATTTTATTTAGTGGGAATTTTCGTAACTATCACACAAACAGTGAAATTTTCATTTTCTCACTGAAATATTAAAACCTTCAATTTCAGTTATTTTCATTGTGCAATATATTTCTAGAGTTGAGATAAATTCTAGATATGAGATAAATTTCCTATAGGAAATGAAATTCAGATCCCTGACAAGTACTTGTATTACCAGAAGGCTACAAAATGTGGTAGTGGCTAGTAGTGGAAATATCTATGGAATCATAGCAAAGACCTGTTAACCCTATAATTAGTTCAGAAACAAAACTCATTTTATAGGAACCCTTTTAATTCTGTTTAATATTAAAACACAAGTATGCAATTCTACGGATGTTTCTTCATCAGATCAATGATTTCACTGTATACTTGCTGAGGAGCATCAAGACCCCAGATGAAATCAAAATGGCTCCAATCAGGAATATACTTTTTATAAAGTAGATTGGTTATTTTGGAGAGCAATAGCCTTATATCCTTTAGGTCCACAAGCCAGTCCTCTCCACCATACCACAATGCAGTTGGAACTTTCATATCTTCTAACCTATACAAGGGAGCTTCAGTCTGGAAAACAAATTGAACAGCTTTAAAACTGAAAGCATCTACAGTAGAAATTTTTAAACACAAAATATTCATCTGTGGTGTGATACCTGCCCAAAGTTCTGGGTGCATCCAGAAAGAATCGACAATTGTTAGATATAGCAAGAACATCCTAAAGTTTCACAGATTTCACTGAAAAGTCAATAGAATAACAGCTGGTTAGGGGGCAGAGGACAGATAACAAATTATCAGCATTGAAAATATTTTGAACATACTATTAAATATTTCAAATAAATCAAATAAGATGATATTTCTACCACAATCAGATGAAAATCCAGGCCTCCATGCAGATCATATACTAATATATTTTATTCCTTCACCAGAAATATTCTTGCTATTATATTCTGTTCATTCTTACTTTCAAGAGGTAACAGATTTTTCTTACCTGGTTGTATTTAACTTCATTCTCCTTACTGCCATAATCAAAATGCTTGAATTCTCCTGTTTTAAAAGTCTAAGTAAAAAAAAATTACACACTTTAATATTTTTTATGATTTGGTCCATTCCATAATATCCTGCAATTAACAAAATTAAAAAGTAGATTTTAAAAGAAATATTAGAAATTAATTAAACGTTGTTTCTATTACAAGAGGAAGCAGTAGGCAGCTTTCTAGAATGGATACTGATATCATAATCTTGTTAAAATACTTGCTTATCTCACTTTCAAAATTTCATTCCAGACTGATAAGGCAACCAACCAGAAGGGTTCTTAAAAGCCATGAAGCGCTATGATTCAGTGCATCATTTCAGTACTGGCCCAAAGCTTTCTTACCCAGATCTGAATTTTATTTTTCTGAGATTCTATGCCCACTAATTCACTGGTACCAGAAAGTGTTTGCAGTTCTATTCAGCAAAAAGTCAACAAATACAATAAATTTTTCAGTATAACAATTAACCTTCAGAGTGCTAAAGCTGATGGTTGAGAGCTCTTGGAGATGATCCAAGTTGATGAAGTTATAGCTGATTATGCAGTTGGACTAGAGAACTATAAATCTCTCTCTTTGTGGCTTTTGAGACATATGAAATCATTCTTTTATATCAAAGAGAGAAATCCATTACAACTTTGTCCATCGACTGACTGAATTTGAACTACTCCACATGCATTAAACAAACAGATCCACTTTCCACTCTATACAAAGTAATCACTTACAGCAAATAACTATATTCATGAAATGATAGAAATTTGAATAGTCATGGAAAAATTGAGGATTGGGCACATATATAAAGCAGTGAACCCCACTCCTCAATAAACACATAAAAGAAAATTACATTACAATTCTTTATCAATTTTATCTTGCTCCCCTTAAAATGAAACATACTTATAATACAGGGATGAGCCAAAGCCAGAGAGAATGTAATGAAATAGGATGATTTCTCCATATATGGTGGAAGATCCAACTATATTTTGGATCAGGGAGTGAGGAAGATCAGGGAGTGAGCTCTCAGATAGCTCTCAAGTATTTGTATTAACTTATCCTGAAAATTCTGCACCTTATAAAATCCAGAAAGAACAGATCATTCATCTCCTAGGTGACACTAGAATTACTATAACAAGATGGTGGAAGAGGAGTGAGTCTTCCAAAACTACCTGGTATCAAAAAGTGTGGGGAATGTCAGTATTAGAAAAACCAACTCATCAGTCAAGGTTCTACAAAGGAGTGAAGGTAAAAGGACAATTGCTTATAAATCGTCTAGAACATTTTAGCACATGCTGAAACTGGGTCATTCCCAGCCACCAAACCTGATAGTTTAAGAATTTTTTCTAATGCTCCGGAAACCTTTTTCTACAATAGCCACAATTAAACTCGTAGGGAAAAAAGAGAAAAGATTCACATCAGAAAGTTTTGAAACAACAAGTAAAATAGGTTACTCATTACATTTTAAAAACCCAGAAGTTTGGATCTAAACATATGGTAATGAAGACTTTAATTAATACAGAAGACAAAGAATAGAAAAGCATCAACCACAAGTCTCAATAATACAGCTTTAGGGACTTCCAAAGGCCAATTCATAATTGTGTTTTTGTGTCCATAATCATTTTATTCAAGCTGTAAATAAGTTTTATACATTTTCTGTTGTAAAATATTTCTGTATCTGTTCATAATATTGAAAGGGAAAAAAGGAAAAGAAATTTAGTCCATCAGATTGAGATTACTATTTTACCTTATTATGATACATATATTGTGTTTTCATATTGTAATAATAGTGAGTGTATTATATTTTATTTTAACTAACTAATTTATTACAGTATTTTTAAATATTATGGGTGAAGTTTGTAATAAACTTATTTTAGACCTTAATCTCCTCTCACACTGGTTTTCAGACAAATATGAAACCAGGTCATGCCGCTCTGATCCGTATGTGAGGGCATCTTTCCTGTGTGGATCTCCCCAAGGACAGTCAGCCATCTCTATGTCAATGCTTCCTTATTATCCTTAGAGAGGCCTCTCCGTGCATTGTTTGTGGAGGATGCTGGAAGGACCGGGTAAAGGAGTGGGTATCCCAGCACTGGGCTAAGACGCTTATCATCTCTCCTTTATTTGCAAGCAGTGTCCTCAGTAAAAGTGATATAGGCCTAGGCTATATAACTTTTCCGCAGAGTCATTCTCTCATATGGCCAATGTGAGTCCCTGAAAGCATGGTTATAATGAAGTCACATTACAAAGAGGCTAAGGGCGGGGAAGTGTTCTATTGGTCACTAGTGGCCAGGTAGCCTTTTCTGGGTAGCAGGGCAAGCCTTAACTCCTAAACCAATCCTCCTGCTCCTCCCTATGGGATAATACTGAGAGGATCTCCAGAATTTTTTCCCCCAAACAGCCAATGCTTTCAACATCTCCAGCTCTCACCCCTCTTCTTTCGCCTTCTCTCAGACCCAACTAAATGGCATTTCATTCAGCTTCCTACAGTGGCATGTCAAAGCAGAACAGCAGTTTCCCAGGGTAGCTGATGATAGAGGCTAAGCTGGGCAGGGAAGCCACTGTTCTACCTTTGATAGACTGTTGCTATTACTCCTGTTTCAAAAAGACACCCAGGGGAAAAAACCTGCTCCTCCATCCCAAGATTAGCTACAGTGCTCAGCTGTACAAGAGAAAAATTGCAGCCTCGGGTTGTAGGAAGCCACATTAAAGCTCTTAGCATCATTGGTCTGGAAATGGAAGTAAGACCCCAATGTAATACAATACAGATGCATGGGCTTAATTTTAAGCACATGAATAGCTCTACTGAAGTAAAGACACACTCATACACATATTCTTCTAAAATGTACTGCCTTTCCTAGCATAAAAATGTTATGTCATTACCAACCCATCACCTTCTCACTTTATTCATATTTCACTTAATGGCTCACTTCTGCCATGAAATCTATAGAACATGAACTAATTCATGTGCTAAAGTAAAATGTAAACAGGAGTCATACTTACTACGGTGACCATGTGAACTAACAGATGCCTCAGTCCAGAAAACACACATATAGGAATAGGAGTCTGCACATAATTTAATGTGTATTACCCTGTCCAAATCCACCTGCTCCTTTTGTGCCCCTTGTTAAATGCCTTGGAGCAGAGACCCATCTAGCTATCAGTTTGCAAGGTACCCACTTCACCTTCAGGTATGTTCCAAGTAAGCAAAATAAGTCATTTCAAGGTGTAGAGCAAGTGGCTACTGGTGCACTTCTTGTGTAGCTGAAAGCACAAAGCTGAAGGACTCATGCTTCATTACATACCCAAGGTATGTAATCTACTGCACATGTACCAGCAAACTACTCATGCACATCCTGTTGTAGTTGTTCACTGTGTTATTGTTCTGACTCATACAGCTCTGTGTAGGCACTCTACCAGACAGAGGGTTTAGGGCTCATCTCTTGTGCTTGTAAAAATTCTATGGGAAACCTGATTGTGGGACCTGTGTGGTGGAGGAGGAAGAGGAGAGGGGAGAGTAAAAGAAAATATGCATGTAAGAATAAAACCATCAAGTTAAACCGTGTTATCTTTCTAACAACTGTAATGAAGTTTCAGTATCCCAAGACTGAAGAATAGCCACTTAGTGAGGGTGGGAGAAGTATCTAATTAAGCAATAATCACCAGAGGATCTTTTCCTGTTTCCCAGGTCATGAGACATTATCATGACCCAGTATAACATGATAATGCTGAATAGATTTTATAAATCTCATTTTAGTTTTTTTCTAATATTATAGAGAAGCTTTTTACAGAGACTGCTGTTTTTAAGGAGTAAAGATTGTTAGAATTTACTAAAGTGGAACCTTTAAGGAGTAAATTTAAATTTAACACTGTGTGGGTAGGTTTCCTCTCAGGTTCTTAATGTCTTCCATAGATTAATATTCATCAATATATTTTCCAAAGACTCAACACTGAGATATAAAGAAGTGGTCTTATTTACCTTTACACTTCAAGTCTGAGTGATCCCAGTCCTCTCAACTCTCTAGCATCTAAACATTTCTTGTTTTACACAGTTTGGTTTCCTCTCTGCTCCCTAAAAACTCCAAAAATATCAATGACGTGGATGAGATGATGGTGTAGAGAGGAAGGGTTTAGATTTATTAGGAACTGGGGGAAACTTTTGGGATAGTGGGAGCTTATACAGGAAGGATGGAACCAAAATGGAACCAGACTGCTGGCACTTTACATTTAAAAGGAGCACATGGATCAGACAGAGACATCTCTTAGGAGAGGTCCTATTAATAGAGATTCTCTATGTTCTAGTGAGGAGGAGAGGATAGAAGTATGGTTCAGATCAGATGAAACACAATCAAATGAAAAAAGAGTCTAACACATCAGGAAATGGCAGACAGATAAATAGTGACATATTTCTGGTGTTTATACACAAATGCTAGAAATCTAAATAATAAAATGGGTGAACTAGAATGCCTAGTTTTAAAGGAGGATACTGATTTAATAGGCATCACAGAAACTTGGTGGAATGAGTACAATCAATGGGACAGAGTCATACCAGGGTACAAAATATATCAGAAGGACAGAACAGTTCAGGCTGGTGGGGGAGTGTCACTATACATGAAAGAAAATGTAGAATCAAATCTTAAATAACCCTAAATGTTCCATAGAATCTCTATGGATAGTAATTCCATGTTCCAATAATAAGAATATAGCAGTAAGGATATAGCAGTAAGAATATAGCAGTAAGAATATAGCAGTAAGGATTATCGACCACCTGTCCAGGACAGTGATAGTGACTATGAAATGCTAAGGGAGATTAGAGAGGATATCAAAACAAAAAACTCGGTAATAGTGGGGGATTTAAACTATCCTCATATTGACTGGGTACACATCACCTCAGGACGGGATGCAGAGATAAAATTTCTTGAGACCTTAAATGACTGTTTCTTTAAGGAGCTGGTTCTGGAACCCACAAGGGGAAAGGCTATTCTTGATTTAATCCTAAGTGGAGCACAGGATCTGGTCCAAGAAGTAAATATAACTGGACTGCTTGGAAATATTAACCCTAATGTAATAAAATTTAACATCCCTGTGGTGGGAAAAACACCTCAGCAGCCCAAAACTGTAGCATTTAATTTCAGAAAGGGGAACTACACAAAAATGAGGAAATTAGTTAAATAGAAATTAAAAGGTACAGTGATAAAAGTAAAATCACTGCAAGCTGCATGGAAACTTTTCAAAGATACCATAATAAAGTCCCAACTGAAATGTATACCCCAAATTAAAAAACACAGTAAGAGAACCAAAAAAAAGTGCCACCGTGGCTTAACAGCTAAGTAAAAGAAGCAGTGATAGATAAAAAGACATCTTTTAAAAAGTGGAAGTCAAATCCTAGTGAGGAAAATAGAAAGGAGCTTAAACTTTGTCAAATTAAGTGTAAAAATATAATAAGAAAAACCAAAAAGGAATTTGAAGAACAGCTAGTCAAAAACTCAAAAATAGCAAAACGTTTTTTACATACATGAGAAGCAGGAAGCCGGCTAAACAACCAGTGGGGCACTTGGATGATCGAGATGCTAAAGGAGCACTCAAAGATGATAAAGTCATTGCTAAATGAATGCAAAGATGATAAAGTCATTGCTAAAGAAGCTAAATGAATTTTTTGCTTCTGCCTTTATGGCTGAGGATATTGGGTAGATTCCCAAACCTGAGCCATTATTTTTAGGTGACAAATCTGAGGAATTGTCCCAGATTGAGGTGTGATTAGAGGAGGTTTTGGAACAAATTGAAAAACTTAACAGTAACAAGTCACCAGGACCAGATGACATTCACCTAGGAGTTCTGAAAGAACTCAAATGGGAAGTTGCAGAACTATTAATTGTGGTTTGTATCCTATCCTTTAAATCAGCTTCTGTACCTAATGACTGGAAGATACCTCATGTGACACCAATATTTAAAAAGGGCTGTAGAGGTGATCCTGGTAATTACAGAACAGTAAGTCTAAGGTCAGTACCAGGCAAATTAGTTGAAACTATAGTAAAGAATAAAATTGTCAGACACATATATGAACATAATTTGTTGGGGGAAAGTCAGCATGGTTTCTGTAAAGGGAAATCATGCCTTACTAATCTGCTAGAGTTCTTTGAGGGGGGCAAACATGTCAGCAAACATGTGGACAAGGGGTCCAGTGGATATAGTGTACTTAGATTTCCAGAAAGCCTTTGACACGGTCCCTTAGCACAGGCTCTTAAGTAAAGTAAGTTATCATGGGATAACTTTCATGGATTGATAACTGGTTAAAAGACAGGAAACAAAAGGTAGGAATAAATGGTAAGTTTTCCGAGCGGAGAGAAGTAACTAGTGGCATCCCTTAAGGGTCTGTCCTGGGACCAATCCTATTCAACGTACGTATAAAAGATCTAGAGAAAGGGGCAAACAGTGAGGTGGCAAAATGTGCAGATGATATCAAACTGTTCCTGATAGTTAAGACCAAAGCAGACTGTGAAGAGCTTCAAAAAGATCTCACCAAACTAAGTGATTGGGCAACAAAATGTCAAATGAAATTCAATGTTGATAAATGTAAAGAAATGCACATTGGAAAAAAGAATCCCAGCTATATGATGGGGACAAATTTAGCTACAACTAGTCAAGAGAGAGATCTTGAAGTCATTGTGGATAGTTCTCTGAAAACATCTACTCAGTGTGCAGCGGCAGTCAAAAAAGTAAATAGAAGGTTAGGAATCATTTAAAAAGGGATACAGAATAAGACAGAAAATATCTTATTGCCTCTATAAGATGGTATGCTCACATCTTGAATACTGTGTACAGATATGGTTGCCTCATCTCAAAAAAAGATATATTGGCATTGGAAAAGTTCACAAAAGGGCAACAAAAATGATTAGGGGTTTGGAATGGGTCCCATATTAAAAGAGATTAAACAGACTTGGACTTTTCAGTTTAGAAAAAAGGAGACTAAGGCGAGATATAATAGAGGTCTATAAAATCATGACTGGTATGGAAAAAGTGAATAAGGAAAAGTTATTTACTTATTCCCACAATATAAGAAGTAGGGGTCATCAAATGAAATTAATAGGCAGCAGGTTAAAACAAACAAAAGGATTTTTTTTCTTCACTCAGTGCATAGTCAACCTCTAGAACTCCTTGCCAGAAGATGTGGTGAAGGCTAGGACTTTAACAGGATTCAAAAAAGAGCTAGATAGATTCATGGAGGTTAGGTCCATTAATGGCTATTAGCCAGGATGGGTAGGAATAGTATCCCTAGCCTCTGGTTCTCTGGAGGTGAGTGACAGGGGAGGGATCATGTGAGGATTCCCTCCCTCTGGGGCATCTTGTATTGGCCACTGTCAGCAGACAGGATACTGGGCTGGATGGGCCGTTGGTCTGACCCAGTATGGCTGTTCTTATGTTCTTAAATGCTCTTTTGAGATGCAACAATGCAAAGCCAGAAGTCTACCCTAGCATGTTATGTTAAGTTACTCATCAGTGCAGCCACACAAGTGGTAGCCATGGTGGAAAATTTAGTATTTTGATCTTTGCACATATTTTGTTTTCAAATTCTAATGGAAGACATCATTAAGTTTAAGGGTGGTTTACATTGTGTATGATGGTAGTGATTTATGCTTATATGGTACTGACATCTGACCTCTGTCAGAGTTAATAAAATTGCACTTTGTTTTGAATGAATAAATCTCAGCACCAGTGCCACAGGAAAACAAAAGAAAAATATGAGATGTAAATTTTCAGATAGCTCTCTCTTTTCATGAATAGATCAGACAGTATATGTGAGAATATAAAACATCAGAACTGGCTGCATAACATTTAAATAGAAGCTGTGAGTTAAAGTCATTTTATATTTCAGAAACACTACCTGGCCCCAGTGGAGTATATTTTTTGCAGATGTTGAATCTGGAAAGCGTGACAGGTAGATATCAACGCGACTCTGTAAGAAAACATTTTAGACATTTATTTTCTAACTGAAATGAATGAAGTCAAATTCATCTTCTACTAAATACCATTGAGATAAATAGCTACAGAATATGAAAACAGCTATCCTCTAGAAAATCTTAAGAGATGGCCAGGAACACTGTCACTATCATCCAAAAACTGGATTGAAGAACTGAGTTAGCTTTTTTAAATGAACATTTTCACCTTAGTTCTACAAAAATGTAACAATATACAATACTATTCAGATACATGTAATGAACTCCACTATGACAGAAGTTTTTCAAACCATTCAATAAGACTGACAATTTTCAAGTATATCTGAACCAAGTTATGGATCCATAAGGTTTTCAAAACCAGAAAAAATTTGACAACTTCAGCTCAGTTTCCCTCTGAGTAAGGTTGCTGCTTTATGTTTGCAGCAACATTTTGACTTTCAGGACAAAACCATGAATTAAAATTTCTATAATTAATCCTGGCCTGCCTTCTGTTTAGCAATACTTTTCCAGCATTTGTTACAAATTTGAGTCAAATTTCCTCCAATTTGTTCACACTGACTCGACCCTTACACTGTGGGTAGTCTCATGTAGTACACCTCAGTTAAAATAAGGGTGGCAGAATCCATCATTGTTTGTTCCACACAGTGGAATATGGGAGAGTAATCAGAGGGGATAAGTGGTTTTAAACTGGTCATTTTTATTAGCCTGCTTTGAACAGCTTTTAGTGCAAAATCAAGTACACTTTCCTTAAACTAATGTGATCTTGTAAATTTTTGCATTTTGTCTTTGTGACTTTTGCAGCGTTTTACATAGCCATGCCCTTTCCAAGTTTTTGCCATGCTAAACAACCAATATTAACTTTTTCAACCTCATAATCCATGTGAAATGAAAACCTCAGGTTCCAATTCAATCCATTTACCTAAAACTATTTGCAAACTCCAGTCATTCAAAATATTTCAAACTGACAAGTCAGTAACACTTCTCTGAAATGGATGATCAGGACTTAAAGAGATTTAGATAAACTATGGATTACAGGTGGGTGACAGAGCTCCCGTCAACATAATTAAATCACCCCCAATGAGTGGTGGTACCTTCATGAGCAGACGTGCATCTCCCAGTTGATATAGTGCTGTCCACACCTAGGCTTCTGTCAGTGTAATTTATGTCACTCGGGGTGGAGAGATGTTTTTTCACAACCCTGAGAGACATACGTTTCAGCAACAAAAGTGCTAGTGAGTGCACAGAGTTTGCAGCTAGAGCCTCTTACATAAGAACATAAGAACGGCCATACTGGGTCAGACCAAAAGTCCATCTAGCCCAGTATCCTGTCTGCCGACAGTGGCCAGCACCAGGTGCCCCAGAGAGGGTGGACCAAAGACAATGATCAAGCGATTTGTCTCCTGCCATCCCTCTCCAGCCTCTGACAAACAGAGGCCAAGGACACCATTTTATCCCCTGGCTAATAGCCTTTTATGGACCTAACCTCCATGAAATTATCTAGCTTCTCTTTAAACTCTATTATAGTCCTAGCCTTCACAGCCTCCTCTGGCAAGGAGTTCCACAGGTTAACTACACGCTGTGTGAAGAAGAACTTTCTTTTATTAGTTTTAAACCTGCTACCCATTAATTTCATTTGGTGTCAAAAGAGATCTCTCCTCTTCCTATGCTCTATACAGGCAGTCCCCGGGTTACGTACAAGATAGGGACTGTAGGTTTGTTCTTAAGTTGAATCTGTATGTAAGTAGGAA